CAACAAGAATAATGGCTTTATCCCAAACTCAATTCCATCCTTTTAATAGCCTCCCCCCCTTTCAAATGGAGACCAGACCAAAGCCATTAACAAGACCTTACTCAAATTTCAACTCTTACATTATAGACGGCTAAGATTTAGTAAAGTAATAAGGCATATGCTTGATTCTGAGTGGCCTTAATTAAACATACATGTATAGCTAAATGTCAGTGTGGGCTTAAATAATGTACTGAATTGGGGGCTTAAAGACCAGCATAATGGTAGTGAAAAAGGAGCCTGATGGGAATCTAGGACACCATTGCACTAATACTTGAGATGTTTCCTAATGCGATGAATAATTCTGTTGAATTCATTTTGAATTATACTGTGTAAGTTTCAAATTGGAATCTCACAACAATAGAAGCTTGAAATTATTCCATCTTTTTTTACACCTAGATAATCATGACAGCTGCCTCTTGAGGTCAAGAGGGTGCTGTGTTCTAATCAGATAATTGGAGGGAATACAATAGTTGATAAAAAATGATTTGCCGGAAGATTTTGGTTTTGTCTGCAAGAACGTAGGAAGCTGCCATGTACTGAGCCTCTTGGGGTTGTATCTAGTTCTAGTAGTATTCAGAGATGACCTGGTGAATTGAATGGGCATGAGTAATGTAGGTCTATGGGACTACTCTGAGTAAAACTTAGTTGGATACAACCCTTGGGCCATCTGGTTCAGTATTGTCTACTGGCAATGTCTCTGCAGGGTTTGGGGCAAGAATCTTTCCGAGCCCCATCTGCTGTGGATTGAACCTGCAACCTTCTGCACACAAAACATGAGCTACGACCTTACCCTTTGCTTGCCTAGTGCAGAGTCTGTTTATACATGCCAATCAGTGACCGCAATGGCACCCGTACATGAAAGCACCCATCACAGATAAAATACATCAGTCAGGCGTAGCTTTTTATCACATCATGCAGTGATATTCAACGGAAGCAACGCACGAATGTTCCTCAGAGAGTCAGAAATTGTAAGGCATTTGGGTAGTGTGGAATACATGTATATATAAATCAGCTCTTGGCTAGTAGGTAAAAGGTAAAGGACCCCTGGTCGGTTAAGTCCAGTCAAAGGCAACTGTGGGGTTGCGGCGCTCATCCCGCTTTCAGGCTGAAGGAGCTGGCGTTTGTCCACAGACAGCTTTCCAGGTCATGTGGCCAGCATGACTAAACCACTTCTGGCACAACGGAACACTGTGATGAAAACCAGAGTGCATGGAAACACTGTTTACCTTCCCGCTGCAGTGGTATTTATTTATCTACTTGCACTTTGATGTGCTTTCGAACTGCTAGGTTGGCAGGAGCTGGGACAGAGCAACAGGAGCTCAACCCATTGTGGGGATTCAAAGCGCCGACCTTCCAACTGCAAGCCCAAGAGGCTCAGCGGTTTAGACCACATTGCCACCTGCATCTTGGCTAGTATAGAAGCCTCACGAGCAAGCTGAAAGCCTGGACCATACCTGCCAAAGCAATTCTTCTTTGGGAAAGCAATCTAGCTGAGTTGTGGGGTAGATGCTTTGTGTGCAGAAGACCCCAGGTTCAGTTACTGGCAGCACATTATTGGGCCAGATGGACAAACAATCTGAACTGGACTAAGGAAGCTTCTTATGTTCTTCACAACACAACAGCTGTTGTGGTGTTATATGCCAACAATTTATTTTAATGCCTTACAAGCCATTTTATATATATATGTATGTATATGTTGACAGTGAACTCATTCTCCATATGTAGGCAACGGCACTATCCCAACACAAGACATTGACAGGCTTGGGAGAACCCTGAGCCTTGCTGATGTACCAAAACAACAACAACCTTCAGACCTTCAAGTCCTTATTTGTTCAGAACTAAACCATTCATACGGGACGCGGGTGGCGCTGTGGGTTAAACCACAGAGCCTAGGGTTTGCCAATTGGAAGTTCGGCGGTTCAAATCCCTGCGATGGGGTGAGCTCCCGTTGCTTGGTCCCTGATCCTGCCAACCTAGCAGTTCAAAAGCACATCAAAGTGCAAGTAGAGAAATAGGTACCGCTCTGGCGGGAAGGTAAACAGCGTTTCCGTGCGCTGCTATGGTTCGCCAGAAGTGGCCTAGTCATGCTGGCCACATGACCCGGAAGCTGTACGCCAGCTCCCTCAGCCAATAAAGCGAGATGAGCACCACAACCCCAGAGTTGCCCACGACTGAACCTAATGGTCAGGGGTCCCTTTACCTTTACCTTTTAAACCATTCATGGCACAGAAGCCCTTGTAATCAGATATCCGAATGGTTATATGCCTGCCTAGATAACTCAGTTGGTTAGAGCATGGTGCTGATCACAACAAGGTTACAGGTTTGATCCCTTTTGATCCTAAGGGTCCCTTCCAACTCTAGCTACGATTCCTAAACTGAACCTCAGATCATGGCCCACTGAGAACTGAGCATGCTCATTGGCCACAGTTGGGGGAAATAGAAAGTGTGCGTGTTGTGTGTGTTAAATGTAGTACAGTATCTTGAAAGAGGGTTTGGCGGGCTGGAACCCTGGAAAGGAGCCCTCCGTACTGTTTGGTTGCAGATCCCACTTGTGGGTTTCTGTTTCACAAATCTGTGCCCTTCTCTCACATGGTTTCCCTGTGTGCACCAGATAACGGGAGTGCTTTACCCTTCTTAAGGAAGCTGTGGGAGAATGAATGAGGCTGCAATCCTGTACACACGTTTTTTGGAGTAACACAGTGGGAATTACTTATGGGTACGTAAGCTTGCATAGGACTGCTGTGTAGGCTCCTGAACTGTAAAAGTTGGTAAGAAGAGATCGCTTGGGATGCATATGCAGTTAAGAATGCTGTTCCTGACAGTGGCTAGCAAGATGCTTACATGCAGAACAAGAAGGAACAACCCTGCCCTGTGGTTTGACGCCGTCATCTGATAAACAGAAATATCCCACTTCTGAACCTGCAGGTTCCGTTTAGCAATTCTCGTTTGTTTCTTCGTCCTCTAATAAAGTGTTACTCGCACAGTCCCCTTCTGCCTTCACTTTGAAGCTGTTCAAGGCAGAGGTTTCTTTGAAGATAGCTTAAATTGCTGCAATCCCATTTATTCATAGGATGTTTTCAGTCCGGTGTGTGATCTGCCAAGTACAGCCAATATGGTCAATTATAGCCTTAACACAGCCTTCTTTATTGGCTGACGTTGGTGGCCTCGACTGTTTTGGTTCATTTCTAAATTAAACTCAAAGCAGGGGAGGAGGGGAGAGGGGAAATCTCTTTCCTTATGCATTAATTTGCAGAGATCTCCGGAAGCTCTCTGCCCCAGTCTCTTTGTGGCTGCTGGATCTAAACGTTTCTTTTTGTGATAACTTCTGCCTTCATGAGACAAATCACATGGCTCTCTTGCATTTCAGGGCAGGCTGTGTGGAGGGGAGGCAGGGATGAGACTCAGCTCAGTATTTTAATTATTTCTGAGCCTTTGTTGTGATAAAAATGAGGGTTGGGTAGAATTGGTTATTTGCTGAGCTTTGGGCTCAGTTAAAGAGCTCTTAAAAAAAGAGAAAAAAGCTTGTGGCTGTGCTATCATTCACAACCCAATGCACTCATCTTTGAGTATGTAATTTACAGATGGAGAATACTGGAGAGGCTGAACTCTTTTTCCATTCCACAATTAGATTAACTGCTGGGGCATCTCTCTGAACTTGTTCTGAGGTTATACTGAACTGTTCTTTGTGATCTGAAGCACTGGTACTTTCTTATCTAAAGCACCACTTGGGAAAGAACCAAGTTATCCTCCAAATTCCTGTGTGCTTTCCCTCCTCAATGCATCATCTGAGATCTGATATTTTCATTAAACTATTGATACCAAAGTTCAGTTGGGGGGGGGGGGAGCCTTTGAAAAAGAAAGAAAGGAAAAAGAGAACCGGCAGCTTCTAACTGAAAAAGCACCACAAAGAACGATAGCGCCAGTATTTTATTATTTAGCTCTTCAGAGCTGTAGACTTTTTCCCTGGTGCTTATAAATGATATTTTATGACTGTTTCTATCTTGTTGTGCTTCGCTGATGCTTTTCTGGGTTTACATAAGGGATGATGCTGTCTGTGACAAGAGCGATATTTGTATGCCTATTAGAGAGATGACACATGTTGCACTTCAAAAATCATTGATACCAAGTTCTTACTGTAAACGAAAGCTTATTCTCACTGGGTTTGGGGTTTGTCATTTAAAGGAGAAATTGAAAGGAGAAATTGAAAAGCAAGGCAGCTTTAAAAATCTATGCCCATTAGAGTACTTTTTTTTTTTGCTCTTGGCTGTTTTAACCAACCAGAAATAGGCATTGCAGGTGGTAACAACTCTTTCTGTCCCTTCATGTCAAAAACAGGCTAATTTTTAAAAGAACCATGCACAGCAGTTTAAGAATGCAAAATTTCAGTTCCTCAAATTGGAATTATTTGCTGATTTTGAAAATGTAAGCAGTGATGCCTGACAATAATATGCAATCAGCTGCATTTTAAAAGCAGGGAAACCAAACCTGATCGGATGTTTTCTGCAAGGTGTACTCATTTTTGTATTATAACGCTGGGCAGGAGTGGCCTTTTTGAGACTATGCTTTTTAAATTGATCTTAGTGATTGTGCTGGGACTGCAACTGTTGGGGCACAATTTGCTTTAGTGCTGGACCAGCAGTGTCCCCCAAACTTCTGATACCTGAGGCTTGCTTCCCTCTCCATTACCACTTCAGCCCAAGAACTGAAAATAGAAGCATTCAGCATTATTATACCCAGAAATGTATGCATATAAAGTGAGAAAGAGTTACCCATTCTGCGTATTTCATTATGAGTCACTAAGAACATATGATGCACCAGATCAAAGTACTATCTAGTTCAGCATCCTCTTTCTGCCAGTCAAAATAGAATAATAATAATTTATTATTTATACCCTACCCATCTGGCTGGGTTTCCCCAGCCACTCTGGGCAGCTCCCAATATTATTAAGAACACGATAAAACATTACAAACTTCCCTAAAACAGGGCTGCCTTCAGATGTCTTCTGAAAGTCAGATAGTTGTTTACTTCCTTGACATCTGATGGGAGGGCATTCCACAAGGCGGGTGCCATTACCAAGAAGGCCAGTAAACCAATAATGACAGATATGCTCAGTATTAGACACAGATCTGAAAACTATTTGCACCAGTAAGATGCCTATGGGAACCCTAGAAGCAGGATGAGGGCTGCTTTTGTTCTCCAGCTAGCCCTACCTCCATGAATGGGTCTAATTCTGCTTCAGCGCCATCTAGGTTGGTGGCTACTCCCTTGTTCTGGATGTTGGTCTTGATTGGAAGGAGCCCAGAGCAGTGGCTCATGTAAAGACCAGCAGGCATTCACCTCTGTATCGGGGCAAGTAGGTGCTCCAGTCACATCCAAAGAAGAGCTTTTTGCCCCACCAATAGATGCTTATTGCAAAGAGACAAGACCAGGTGGTGTTTCATTCAGAAGTGTGGGTAGGTACTGTCCTTCTCAGGATAGCTTTCACATTGCAGTGTGCCTGCTCTCTTCTTGCTCCACTTTTGAAATCCAGACTTAGGCATGCAGCTGTTCTATCCAGAGTCAGGCCACTGGCCCATTTACAAGGATTGTTGACAACAGCGGGCAGGGCTGTCCAAGTAGAGATCCTTCTCACATCCACTACAGGAGGAGCTTTTAACGGGAGATTCCTGTGACTGAAACTGGAGTATCCTGCATGCAAAGCAAGCTATGGCTTCTCATCTGCACCAGGAAAAGGCATATCCTTCATTTCCTTTTCTTTGTGGTTTTCTTTCTTTGCAGTATATATATATCGTTCATAAACAGTGATTCATGCACAGTGATTTTATTTAAAGGGCAGATTCCTTCTAGTTTTGCACTGTAACTCAGCTAGAGCCATGGCAGGCTGTAGACCATGAAGGAAATCTCAGTTTGTTGCCTGTACGCCCTGTGCTTGTTTTATCTGTGTCCTTTCAAAAAAATATGGGTTAGATATGTGACCGGACCAATGTCCCACAGCTCATTTGGTGGACATAAAGTATTGTAAACTCATGTGTGGAAGTGGTAGGGGCTGTGAAGTCCAGTCCAAAGCATGTTTATTTGACACGAGTTGCAGTGAGTTTATATTTGTTACGGTAAGTTTATACTCTGCCTTCCCTTATAAAATGCCCAAGGCATGGCTTACTTCAAGCAAGTGTGCATAATACTTTGCTTTCCAATTGTGTTTACTTTTGCACCAAGTGTGGTTTAAAACATGTTTTGGAATAGAGGCAAGAAAGATGGAATGGTGGACTAGGCACAAGACATTTAATTCATGGCATTTCCCTTAAATGTCTCCTTTTCCTCTCGGCTCTCCCCAAAACTCCTGGATCTCCTCTGATGCTGCTTCCTTGAAGTCTAACCAGAGACTGTGGTGGGTAGGCCTTATGTGTTCCAGGGGCAGACCAGACCTGGGAAGTCTTCACTCCAGAACCATCTTTCCCATAGGGCTTAGTGGTGCGTCGCGCCAGGGTGCCAGCCTCTCAGGGGCTCGCGGCTTTGCCGGCGGCCTCCCCTTTCCCTATATGGTTGGAGGGGCACAGCTTCCCTCCCAAGCCTCTGCTGGGATTGCTTTCCCGCAGCGGCATGGGGGAGAGTTGCGCCCCCTCCCCGATGGCTGGCAGTGCGCAGCTTCACGCCCCCCCTCTATCCATGGTAATTTGGGGGCGCTGTGCGGATATTTTCACCCCAGCGCCACATCTGCTAAAGACAGCCCTGCTTCACTCCAATCCACCTCGAGAGCCCTGCCCCTAGGAGTTTTGTGATGGCACGGATTGGCTCCCACTTCCCTAGGCAACCTTGCTACCCCTGTGTGGCAGCAAAGCACCCAGAGTCACACTGAAGGGAAGCAGCATGTTCTCTGCCAGCTGTTCTGACTCGCAAATACTGTTTCCAGTAAGTCGAAAATGAGGCATTATTGTAAAAATGTGTTAAAGTTTGCAAAAGGCCAAAAAAATGTAGGGGTTTTTTTTCTGGAGCTGTGCCAAAGAATTGAGAGTTTCCATATTTTAATTACTTGTTTGTTTGTTCTTTTTCACATCAATACCACGGCAAAAAATCACCCTGCTGTGAAAACAGCGTATTCAGAATTGAGACTCGTAGAAAACATATGTACTGGCAGAATCATCTGCTACCTCGGCACTGTCCTAGTATTCTGTAGATCTTTTTTGGACAGAAAACTTTGAACTCATACTTATTCTTTTTTTCAAAACGCAATAACAACGCAATTTAACCGACATTGTATGAGAAGGAAATTGATTTTCACACACAGTGGTTAAAAAGAGAAGAAGTACGCAACAGTAACTTGACCAGTGTATGCTACAATTTCTGTGCCAGCCCTTGGCACCAATGGGAGATTTCCCCTGTAAATCAAGTATCAGTTTCAGAAAAGGAATTTTCCTCAGAGCCGCAGCAGGAGAGAAAAGGATTTAATTCCCCTTCGATGCTTGCTCTGATCCTACTAATGATCAGGCTGATGCAATAGGCTTTTCTTTTAAAGCTGCCCATTAGGTGCCAAGAGAACGTTGCATTTAGTTTAGCCTGTAGCAGAAAGGGAAAACATATACAAATATAATTTAGTTCACATGGCAGGTATATTTTTTAATGTTCCAGGAGGGTCCAATGCAGACATGATGACTCTAGCAAATGATTTAAGAAACTTCTAAGTACTATGTTGTTGTTTCGTCAACGTCCCCCCCATGCCTTTCACATCTGCACATTGAATTATCAAAGTGCTGGAAGGAACATCTGGTTATTAAGATGAAGGATTATTATAATAACTGTCTGCAGTCACTGATGGCGACCTTATAGCTTGTCTTGCCAGCAGTTTGTTCAGATGGGCTGCATTAGTTTCTCAATGTTAATTCCATCTTTGACCTGGCCAGATGAGAAATTTCCCATCTCATCAGTTGGTTATTTTGGCCTCAACAAATGGGAGGCTGCGCCCAGTCAGCCAAACTCACATGCAGCCCACGCTTTCATGTAAATCAATCTTCATTAATAACTTGAATGCAACTTGAGAAGCAAATAACATAAGAAAATGCAGTTGATCGACTACCTAGCTATAGAAGAAAAAACAATGGATGGTTGAATCTGACTGAGCTAAATGAGACTGTTATGGATGAGATGAAAAGCCTCTCCAGGATGCAACTCAAGACTGGCAGGGAGAACTTGTTTAAGCAGGAGTAGATAGTCTGCATAGGAGCAACCAATCATTGTATCATGAAAACAGATACTAAAGCTTGATCAGTTGCTAACAGATAAGTGTGAAAATTAATGCAGTTCTAAATATGGAGGCTAATGGGCAGCCTAGCAAATAACACAGTTCTCTGTTTGGGCAGAACTTTTTGTAGGTGTAGAATGTGTAGATCTGTTTATAGGAGGAGGGATCAGAACATGCCATGGACAAGATGCCTGGGCCCATACACTTAACAAATAAGTTTTCATTTGCAAAGTCTTTCTAGGGTTGGTTCCCAGTTTCATATCCTGATCTGTATGGAACCCACAAGCCACAGTTTGTTCAAACATCATAGGAAACTGTGGCTCAAGAAACCAAAATTACTTTGCTGAAGCCACATGCATGATGGCAGGAAAGATAAGAAGGGAGCATATGGGCACACAGCTCATTCTTTGAGCCAAGATTAAACATAATTTATAGGACTGGGATCATTGTATTTGAACCAACCAATACCAGAATAAGTTTTTTGGAGGGGCGGGGTCAGGGCTTTTCAACTTCAACACGACTTCTTTGACATTTTCTACTTTGTCTCTGTTGATGTAAATTTTAAACGGCCAGTTCAAATCGTTGCTACTCTGCCATGGTTGGATTCCATGTTGTATCTGTAATTTCAGAGGCTCACATAGGTTATTGGGATCACATGGATACTTTCCCTTCAAACGACCCCTTTATATCAGAGCACTAACAGTGCAATGGGGAGTACCATTATGATCAGAGTGACCCCACTGGTGGGGACCTTCAGGTGTTGCCAGTGTAATGTGGGAGCCAATCATCATGCCATGACAGCTGTACTAGAAAGGTAATGTTTGAAGCAGGCTGAAATTTTATTCAGATGTAGCTATTAATAGTGGGTGGTGAATGTCTTTTCTTGGCTGTTTATTTATCTCATCATTTGTATTTTGATAGTAGGAAATGTGTACCAAGGATGTAATAAATGCCGAAGAGATGCTGGATTTATTTCTGATGAGATGCTTAACACCAAAGGAAAGAAAATGCCACGGGAACAAATATAGTTTGCATGTAAAATTTAACAACGCAGTTCAGACAAAATGTTAAGAGCTGTAAATTAGTAAACCTTTAGGGGACGATCCACCAGAAAGGTATTCTGCGGAGCCCCATTGAAATGTAAGGACAGTGTGCTCTGCACTCCCAGTGGATTGTGGCCTGAAATGTATCTATCACATGTATAAGTAACAGAAATACACTGTCCTTTTCACTGACTGTTCCACCAATTAGTTCAATGACTTTTGATGACTGCTGCCTTGTGAAAATCAAAAGAGAAAGATTCCATCTGTGGACCTTAATGTCTCCATTCCCATTACTCAAACATAATAATTTGACTTTGTTGGTCATAATACATTGAATGTGTCAAATCATCAGGAAATTTAATTTAATTTAATTTAATTTCCCCACCTTCATTTTAAGGCATATGGTTTGATCACATGTTGACATTCTGTATGTTGCGAATGTGGCTAAGAACTAAAAAGAATAAGAATGTGAATAGGTATTATTGATATAGTACTTGAATCACATTAGCTCAGGGTGCAATCCTATCTCTACTTACCTTAGAGTAAGCCCCACTGAATTTGATAAAACTTCTGAGTAGGCATGGTTAGGCTTGCACTACAAATTCTTGCAGTCATCATATAGGCCCATACAGCAATCATAAAACCATACAACTGCTACATAATAGATCAGAAACAGGCTGAGAAAATTAGATTCTAGCTTGTCTATGGCAAATCCATGAGATCATGCCTGAGCTGAGATAATAATAATAATAATAATAATAATAATAATAATAATAATATACCCCCGCCCATCTGGCGGGTTTCCGCAGCCACTCTGGGCGGCTCTCAACAGAATATCAAAAACACAATAAAAGATCAAACATTAAAAACTTCCCTAAATAGTGCTGCTTTCAGATGTCTTCTAAAAGTCAGATAGTTGTTTATTTCCTTGACATCTGATGGGAGGGCGTTCCACAGAGTGGGTGCCACTACTGAGAAGGCCCTCTGCCTGGTTTCCTGTAACCTCACTTCTCGCAGGGAGGGAACTGCCAGAAGGCCCTTGGAGTTGGACCTCAGTGTCCGGGCTGAACAATGGGGGTGGAGACGCTCCTTCGGGTATCCTGGGCTGAGGCTGTTTTACCAAGGAGCATTAAGGAAAGCATGTTCTAAGTCACTTTTTCCAGCTGTATTTGAGTATTTGCATTGGTTCAGTTGATCATTCTAAGTTTTCCTTACAAATCACACAAAAAAAATTGTGGGTTTTTTTATGATTTACGTTGTAAGCCACCTTAAACTGTTCAGGGCAGGATACCAATACTTTAAATAAAATGAGAACATATGAAGAGCTTTCTGGATCAGGCCAGTGGCCCATCTAGCTCAGTATCCTGCTCTGGATACCATGCCATCTCCCAGCATTCAGAGGCGGACTGCCTATCCAACAGCAGAGACAGAACGTAGCCATTGTGACTGTGCTTTCTAACAGCAATGCTTTCGGGCTAATCTGTACACTTTAATATGCTGCTCCGTTTCCCAGTTCTGAACCTGCCGAGATCTTCCTGCAAGACCTTAGATTTGAGCTAACTTGAAGCTCAGCTGGTGCAAAGCTTATGCAGATTAAGCGCAAAGGAAGAGGGCTCTCGTAAAGAGGTTTGCTTTCAGTTAGCAGCCCGGACTTCGTGCAGTTTAATAAGATTCCACGTATGGAACTTTTGCTGGATCAAATAACAGGGCTTTGCTAAGTGCGTTACAATTGGACATTTCTGGTCTTTGTTCTCCTTTCTCCACCCCGTGTTCCCATTCCACCCCCCATACCAACATAACAAATGCCAAATATGTCTTTTCCTGGAACAATTCCTGTCTGCTTTCCGACATCAGTAACAGAAGTTGTCGATCGCATAGCCAAACCAGGTTTTAGTTTTGTGACTGAGATACTTTTCTTTGTCCTTCTCCGTCTTGTTTGGCCTTAAACAAGCTCTGCTAGGCCAAACATGAAATCACACACTGGGTGAGGTGCCCGTGATCTGTTTTATAAAACACTGACTCAGCACACAAGTATTTTACTATTTATGAACTTTAGCTTCTGTTAATATGATTGAAGCAAGTGGAAATGGAGATTGTCAGGGCAGCTTAACAAAGAGACCCTGTAAAACTCATTACATCCCTGGTAGTAAAATCACTTTAGAAAGCACATTCTTCAAACCTGAGTTTTTATTCAGTGAAATCACATTGGTGCGTGGACCTTTTATGGGCCTTATATTTTGGAGGGAGAAGGGGAAAGCAACCTGAACAGTCTGAGGTCTACGTCTTAAATAATTAGTAGCTAGATTTGAATAGGCTCTAGATCACACAAGATCAGGGCCGTCTTTACCCAGGGGTGCGGGGCACCCAGGCACCGAATTCTGGGGGGCGCCAGGCGCCCGCTTCCCACCATTGAAGCCGCCTAAGCTCTTAACTGTCTACCTGTTATGAAATAATAAATAATTTTGGAAAGTTGGAAAAACAAAATACAGATATACCCAGTTATTACCAGCGGCACTTGTCAGACTCAACGATGGCGCTTGTCATTCTCAACGGCACCGTGCATGTGAAATTAACTCTTACATCATAATAAAAGTTAATTTAGGAGCTAAACTAAATTTGGGGGCTCTGGGCGGATCTTTGCACCCCAGCAGCGCATATGTTAAAGACTGCGCTGCACAAGATGGCATACTGTATAGGTAAGTCTACACTCGAGACAGCCAGCACTATCCCATCTGACTGGGTTGCCCCAGCTACTCTGGGCAGCTTCCAACAAATTAAAACACAATAAAATATCAAACATCAAAAGCTTCCCTTTACAGGACTGCCTTAAGATGTCTTCTAAAAGTCAGGTAGTTGTTTATCTGCTTGACATCTGATAGGAGGGCGTTCCACAGGACAGGTGCCACTACTGAGAAGGCCCTCTCCCTGGTTCCCTTAACTTCACTTCTCGCAGGGAGGGAACTACCAGAAGGCCCTCGGAGCTGGACCTCAGTGTTTCAGTCAAAACTTTCCGATATTGCTCCATTGATTTGAGCTACCTAGTGCCATTTGAAACCCCGTGGCATATTGACAACACATAGTTTACCATTTTAAGGGTAAAAGATGCAGTAAAATTAATCTTAAAGATGGAACCCATGGAGGGAAGGAAGGAGGTCTAAGGGTTCGAAAGAACTCTGTATTTTAATGTTTGAAATTGCTATGTTTTATATGTATAATTTCATATTCATATATATATATATATATATATCTCAACACATAGTTTCATTTACTACTGAGCTGCAGTCCCCATCTCTAATAAAACATGATAACTTTTACCAGGTCAGAGTGTCACCTGGGGTCAGCCATTCCATAGACTGCCTCAAGTGGGAGTGATGGGAAGCAGGGCTCATTCCATCACTTTGCTGAAAGACCGGCTCTATCTGGTACCTCCTATCCCTGAACTGTGCAAGTTGGATATAAAAAGAACAGCTGTTTCAGAATCAGTGCCTGAGTTTTTTCCTCTCCCCTTCTCTCCTTGTCCCTTTTTGCTTTTGTGTGTCGTCATCATCATCATCTTACTGTAAGCCTGCAAGCAGGGACTGTCTCAGTTTAAGCTACTCTGGAAAACTTTTTGGGCTGAAGAGTGGGACATAATTGCTATAAATAAATAAACTTGCCTTTGGAATTCCTATTTATCTACCTTGTCCAGAGTTATAAGGTTTGGGTTAATGTTGAGATATGGCAATACACATTCAGGTGTGCAGTGCAGTGGCAATGCAGAAGGCTCAGTGTGTGTATGGACCTCTCTTGTTGGATTAGGGCAAAAGATCCTTGTCCAAGGATGGATTGTGTAATCAGTGTAAATTAATTGTAGGACAGAAGGCCAAGTACAAATTGTTACACGGATAAAATAAATGAAAGGGGTGTAGGGTACATCTGTATTAAGTGTAAGCAAATACTTAAAACATTGGCGGGGGGTGGGGGTAGAGTGGTCCATCACATTAACTAGTTAGATGCAGCATGATGCTAAATGCCGGGTGGTGTTGTTGTTTTTTTTTAAAAAAGAAAACAAAATAAAAGCATATGCATAGCATTTAATGCCAGTAGGCTACACAAGCAGACTGGTATAGTTTTTTTAGGACTGCAGTTTTATTTAAGAATGATATGCACATTGGGAGATTGGTGCTGGATCAATCACACAATGTCTTATTTTTTTATTTCGGTAACCTCCTATTCTAAATATATCTTATTAAAAAGTTTTAAGCATCAGAAGAACTGGCAATTGATCTGCATGCAAATCACGTTGAAAAGTAATTTCAAGTTGTATATTGAAAAATGTCCAAGTGAACAAGTGCCCAAACTGTATTTGCAAAGTAGCATAATTTGCCAAAATATGCCTTATTGTTCTGCATGCTGTTTTCAGGAAACCCCTCAAATACTCACACTTTTGACCCCATTGTGAAGGCCATAAGTAACAATTCAATAACTTTCACACACATGCAAAATCAGTCGCTGACATCGTAGAACATAGTAGCCAGCTGCTAAATCAGTCACCTGATAGCGGTTAGTGGCAAATAGTTTACATCATTTATGATATACAGAATATTTTCTATCTGTATTAGGGTGGTTTGCAAACAAACAAATCTATATGTTAATGGGGAGCCCCTAGCTGGACTAATTTCCAAGATTTTCTTCCGTTCAGTGCTTTACGCATCTTATTTCTCCTAGACCTGCCATTTCCTTATCAGAACACTTCCTGATCTTGTTTACTGGAAACTTATTCTCTTAGTTGAAGGAAGACGCGAGATAAGCAGCTGAAGATATCAGCAAAGTCAAGGCTATACAACTCAAGTAGGAAGACTAAAATGCAACTGCAGCTGCCCACAGTTTGTAGCTATATTTGCAAGTGTAAGGTTGTGATTACTAGATTAAACTGTAGTTAACCATCCGGGGCAGTATTGCTCTCTGGGGTTGTTCTGATAAGTATGGCCATTGCAAGCTTATCCATGTGGGTCACTATACAGGTGCCAGAATCTGCTGCATGCACAGAGTGGCCAGACACAGCTCTTATGTGTGTATCCCCTTTGTGCAATCATAGCATGCTCCAACAACGTTAAAGATAACAGGGAAATCCTTGCCCCATATAGCTCCATGAGGCCAAGGGGGACGAATCGAACTTAAGCAAACAGTGAAATATCTCAAGCCCTATAAATTCCAATGGGCTTTTAATGCCCATAAATAATTATGGATTGCCCCCATGCTGTAGTCATTCTTTCTAATTGCTAAATGCAATACTGCCATCTTGAATTTAATTCAAAAGTAAAAATGCATAGCCTAGCCTTGCGATGTGAATTGTCGTAATCTCTTTAAAAAAGGAACAAGTTCAGATGACTCTAACATGTTGACATGTTGGATTTGATACAAAATGTGTTGCAGTTTTCATCCACATTTTCAAATTAGAATCCAGTTTTTTGCCGTCGTCATGAGACTGGGACTGCTGAGACCTTGGATGGAGGTGGTGAAGATTATGACTTTGTGGGTCTTCCATTATTGAACATTCTTTCTATTGCATAAGAACATCCTGAATGGCAATCCTAAAACTTGACTCATTTTTTTTAAGGTATCAGGGCTGAAAAATGCATAGTTGATGATGGTATATTTCTGTGCACTGATCTTCTCCCCACCCCCCACCCCCAAATCTATAGCTATGCAGTCAGCAGTGAAGCTAATCTGCAAACTAAGGAGATTTGTTAAATATTGCTCAAAAGGCACGTTTCCAGGTTGTTAGGTGTCTATTAACAATTTGTGCCTGTGATTTCCTCCCATCACTTTTTTGTGTTCGGTTTTCTTCTTTTCCCTCTCTTCCTCTCCCACTCCCCATGAGTCTTCTCCTCTGTGTTTGCTACAAGCTTCTCTTTCATACATTTCGACGGGATACCAATGACCTCCAGTTGTATTCTAGAAAGGGTAGCATTGTCAGGAGAAACAGTAACTTCACTGATAATGCCTTTGATATAAATGATCCATAGTAGGAGGAGAATACACATTAAAACGCGATTACAGAGGAACTTGCTATGTACTATCAATTCCCAACATAAGAAGATTACGGTTTTCCTTTCGCAAATCAAATTACTTTGAGCCTTTGTGCTACCTCTGTTAAAATATCGTTTGTGAAGCTCACATTTTACGTGACGCTGCTTGTTTTATTTGTTTCTGAGACACAGATTGTTGAAAAGAAAATAATATAAAAATGAATTCAGTCATTCTGTCCCATTCCATTCCATTTGTTCAGGTAATGTGGGTGCTGGGAGATCCTCTCTCTCTCTGTGTGTGTGTGTCTACATGTACAGTCATACCTCTAGTTGCGTTAGGTTCAAGTTGCGTTTTTTCTGGATTCGAACATGGCAAACCTGGAAGTGTTTACTTCCGGGTTCGCTGCTTCACGCATGCGCAGGAGCGATCTGTCGCGTCATGCGCACACACAGAAGCGGCGCTCTACTTACGGACTTTTCAGGGTGCGAACAGTATCCCGGAACGGATCGCGTCCATAAGTAGAGGTACCACTGTACATCCTTATCCATTTACTTTGATGGAGGAAACAGCTCTATGCATAAAGTAGCAAAGGTTTCCGAGGTGACTTCCTGGGTCAGCAAAGAGAAGCACTCCCCACCCCAAGGCCAATACAATTAGTATTCACAGCAGCTGTGATATAGTTTACGAAGTTGAGAAATTTGATTTTTCACAACTCACATGAGCACAGATGGAGAACCCATGTCTACAACATAGAGAAATATTTCCGTAGCGTTGTTTTCATCTTGGCACTCTCTTTTTTTGCTAGCACAAGCCACCCACGTTTCTTCACTATGCATTTAGCAATAAATTTGCACAAACCAACGGAACATGAAAATACTGGGCTGTATCCAACACTGGAACTGCTTGGAGCAGACTCCCTGAAATTAATGAGCATGACTAACCTAGATCCATTAATTTCATTGGGCCTACTCTGAGTAGAGATAGTATTCGCGGCAACCCTTTATTGCACGGGTGATATTTTCCCCTGTGTCTTAAGACTTTTCCCCAGTGCTCTTCCAAACAACTCTTGAGAAGTCATCAAATAGCATCACAACGGGTAAATTTACTCTCAGATCTATTGACATAGCATCAACAGGTTCCTGAGAGAATAAGCCATGTAAGTCACATTGGAGCCAGCAGAAGGTATCTGCAGGGGATAATCAAAGGAGAGCGAGCCTCCTTCCTTATCCACACCAATTTTGCCTTTCAAATGACACCTGCCCCTGCACAAGCATGTTTGGAAAGACCCCTATGGTTGAAGCAATGCATTGCTATATCCTAAGCTCCATTCTTCTTCCTTGTTCTCTTACCATCTTCTTTCATATTATAATGTCATATAGCATTCTAGTTTGGTCTCTCTCTCTCTCTCTCTCTTATTTTAACTACACAGTCCAGTGCATGGTTACTCAGAAGTAAGCTGTGTGTAATGGGATCTACTCCCAGGTAGTCGTGTTTACAATTGCAATGTATGTGTGCTTTTATTTATGTGTACAGTGGTACCTCGGGTTACATACACTTCAGGTTACATACGCTTCAGGTTGCACACTCCACTAACCCAGAAATAGTGCTTCAGGTTAAGAACTTTGCTTCAGGATAAGAACAGAAATTGGGCTCCGGTGGCGTGGCTGCAGCAGGAGGCCCCATTAGCTAAAGTGGTGCTTCAGGTGAAGAACAGTTTCAGGTTAAGTACGGACCTCCGGAACGAATTAAGTACTTGACCTGAGGTACCAGTACAGTGGTACCTTGGTTTACGAACTTAATCCGTTCTGGAAGTCCATTTCTTAAACCAAATCCGTTCCTAAACCTTTCCCTAATGAGGCCTCCCACCGCCGGTGCCCTTCCACCGTTTGGCTTCCGTTCGTAGACCGAGGTAAAGTTCACTAACTGGAACACTCCAGTTTTTGGGAGTTTGTATACTGAATAGTTTGTAAACAGGGCTATTCTGAAACCAAGGTACCACTGTATGTGTAAAAGATAGGAGGTAGTTGAATAAATCGGGGAGCTTTTTCTCTCTCTCTCTCTCTCACACACACACACACACACAGCCAAGTAATATTATTGTCAATGGTCCTTAAAATTACCAGCCTGGAAATGTTATGGACTTCTAGAGTAACGGAAAATAGAGATGAAATTGTTTTATTTAGAAGCCGCATTATATAAGTCTGGCTGTACTAAAGTGTTTCTTGGAAATAGAGAAGAGCGTTCAGCAATGTTTGCCTCAAAATCAATACAATGTAGGCGTTTAGTGGATCTGAAAACACCTATAACAACAAAGACATACACTGTAACGGAAAACGTTAGCAAGCCCTACTGATTTATTTCTGTTATTACTGGGTTCTTTCCCAAAATTCCCAGTGCTCTGGTTCCTTTCTGACACAAGCCATGTGAGGATAGAAAAGTAGAGAATTCTCTGTTGTTTTGCAGTTTTGCATATGTATAAATAAAAGCAGCTCCCACCTTACTTTCAGTGTCTTTCGTCTCAGTGTTGCCCTTGTAGAACACTCTATAGAGTGGGGGCAAAACTAGAATTAGTCAGTTCTGCCTGTCACTGGCTTTGGCGCCACCTACTGTTCAGCTCCCTACCTTCCTCCCTACCAACCCCAATGAATGAAGGAGTCCGAAGGGAAAATAGCAAAATAAAAGATTTTCTTTCTAGATAACCTGCAACTAAAAAAACAAAACAAACCCACCAAGCAGATGTCAAGGCAAGAAACAACTATTTTACTTTTAAAAGACAACTGAAGGTGGCCCTGTTTAGGGAAGTTTTTAATGTCTGATACTGTATTGTTTTTAATATCCGGTTGGAAGCCACCCAGAGTGGCTGGGGAAACCCAGCCACATGGGTGGGGTATAAATAAATAATTATTATTATTTCCGTTCAGAGCTATCCTAGGAAATCAGTTGGAAACTGTCAAGTCAGCTCAGAGCTGGAACAGAGCTGAGAGGGGAGAAAACCTGTCATATATTCTTAACTCAAGAAGACTCTAAAATGGGGTGTGGACATAGAGGAAAGGGCATGGATCCATTGCTTTTAAATATAAATTGCTGTAAGCTGCATAAATAATTGCATGATTAACTCAATTTTGAATAGGTTGATAAAGGAGGTTTCTAGTGACTTGGAAAGATGGGCACAATTTAAATGTAATATTTGGGGTAAGGGCAATATTATGGCATGGATAATGTATATATTCTTTGTGGTATTTATATTCGCCTTGTATAGTTTTAAAAGAATAATGGGATATTTAAGAAATTTGTTTGGGATAATTCTCTACCTTGTTTTTCACTTTAGAAATTGCAGCTACCAATATCAGAAGGCTTTAAAAAAATGTTCCAGTTATTAGTTTATACAATAGGGCATATTTATTAGCACGTATAAACAATTGTCAAGTTTCCCTTTGTATTAATACCCCAGCTAGGGTACTTTTGGAGGTGGCTTTTTAACACACCTATTTGGATAACTAGTGCTGGGATCTGCATATAAGAAAGAAAGAAAGAAAGAAAGAAAGAAAGAAAGAACCTATGTCACCTTCAGTCACAAGGTTAACTTGTACCACTGGTTTCAAAGTGAGTTGTAACTAAAATTGGCTTCTATGATAGAGATACATTACCATTAATTTCAGAAAAGATTTTAGGTTTTCTCTGTCTTAGGCAGAGAAACCCTGGGGTTGATTGTTTATCAGACCATTACTTATTAAATCCTTATTCAGACCTCCATTATCTTTATCTTTTATCTTTTTTTGTTTGCTTAAGTCGCATCTCCATTTACTGTCCAAAGGGGAATATTTTGTAGTCATGTAATTGTTTACTTAAGGGACCTCGTATGACTGAGTTTTAGAGGGAAAACAAAGATTCCTTTGATCCTCCAGGAAAAAGTTTTTTTCTGTAAGTAGCCTCCTCATGGTGAGCTTTTGGAAATCTGGACAGATCATTGTCCCATCTGTTTCTGCAACTTTCTGTGATCGCCATCCAGAAAGTGCTCTTTAATCTGCGAAGAATAGACGTTTCCAAAGTCGAAAATGTGCTTCCCAGGTGCTGAGAAGGTCACAAAGCCACACCACTGACTGAAAAAACATCGACAGGAAACGAACATCCATGGAGACTTTTGGTTAGAAAGGCCAAGTCCCTGTCCTTTAGATTTTTCGCAGGGTGCGATGGAGTTCAGAAACAAGAGGTAGGCAGCAATATAAGACCCCATGCTGACCACACTTCCTGTAATCTGTTCAAAGTAGCAAGAGAGAATGTGATAGAGGGGACGACTGGAGACCAGTGACAATCAGAATTAGGGATCACTGTTAATATTTGGCCTTTAAAATTCATAGGACAAATACTTACATGTTTCTGCATAAGGATGACGAAACAATCTCTCCATTTGAAGCTATTCTGTACTGAAGAATAATAATCCAACAACCTGTCTTACCTTTTGGCATAGGGAGATACTTTTGATCTATGTGACTTAGTTTGGTCTGGGCCAAAATGGTCTTTGAAATTTTCCAGCCTATTTATGGTTGAAATATAATAAGAACCATTTCAGGGGTGTGTGAGGAGAGAGAAACAGAAAGAAGATGTCTACTAGGATTATTATTATTATTATTATTATTATTATTATTATTATTATTAAAAGGCAAGGGTAAGCAGCTGTGTCTCAAAACAATTTTCAGAATGTGTCCCTGTTCTAGCAACTGTTTGGGGGGGCGGAATGCTTAAAATTTTGGCCGAGCCTTATTGCTCAAACCCAGCCATTAAAATGACGATTATAACATAATTTCTCTTCCAGTATTGTGTATAGATAAGAAATACCAGTCGCTTATTGTTGTTGTTTTTTTTAAAAAACGTAATTAATGTATTTTCATCATAGATTTGGTTCATGCCCTAGACGTAGTGACTAATGCTGTCTTGTCTTCTCTTTACGATACAGTACGATAATCTTTATTGTGATTGTCCCATACAGAACAACGAAATTGAAAAAATCTACACCAGACATTGAAAAACCAACAAGCCTGCTATCCCAGCTATCCCAGCCTGGTTAGCCCCCTAAAAACTATGATACCCCATAATTAAATACAATATACTCCCATAGAGACTACCTTACACTGTGTTTAAAACCAAAATTGCATTTGGATAGAAACTGTTTCTCAGGTGGCTAGTCCTAGTCTTTATAACCCTGTACCTTCTTCCAGAAGGCAGAAGCTGAAAAGGATCATTTCCGGGGTGCGCACTATCCTGCATTATCTCTGCAGCTTTCTTATGACACCTGGAAGCATAGATTTGATCCAAGGTGGGAAGAGTGCACCCAATTATTCTCTCCGCAGTCTTTACAACCCTGGACAGCATTGTTCTCTGGTCTCCCTTTGGTCCCCTCCCCTTCTCCAACGTTCTGCTGCCAAAATCATTCATCATCACTCTGACCACATGACCCCACTCCTTAAATCCATTGCTTCCTGTCTGCTCCTTGCTCATCTTGACCTTCAGAACCCTCCATGGCCTCTACCATTAAATCCTGAACCCATGTCTGCTTCTGTCCTCTCCCCACCTAGCTTCACCATCCTCAGCCTTCTAACCACCCATCCCTCAAATCTTTCTGCCCTTTCCCCCTTGCTTTCACTTACGCCTAAAAATAGCTTTCAGGTTTCTGTGGTTCCTTTTGCAAAACCTCTATGGCCTTATTATAACTAAGCGGAAGTATACCTAACTTAAATATTAGCATTTCCTTTCCTTGCCTACCTGCCCTTCCTCTATTTAGTCTTTGTGTGTCTTTTTCTTAGATTGAAAGTTCCTCAGGGCAGGGAACTGCCTTCTCATTCTTCATAAGGTGTGTGTGCTGTGTACGTAAATAGCTTTGTCTGTGTCTCAAGTGGCTGAGCTGTGGTCCTCCTGAAATGGATGGCCTTCAGCTCCCATCAGCACCAACCAGCATGAACAATAATCGGGGATGGTGGGAGTTTCAGATGATGTTGGACTACAAATCCCATCATCCCTGATTATTGGTCGTGCTGATGGAGCTGAAGTCTATCAACATCAGGAAAGACACAGCTTAGCCACTCCTGAGCTAAATAATGAACAGAACAGAATAGAATAGAATAGAATAGAATAGAATAGAATATTTCTTAATGTTTACACCAAAGCTACTGCTGTTGATGCTATGAAGGAGCATGCCAAAAGGGAAAAAAAGGAAGTTATCCTAGAAGATTTGAAACCCCCAATGACAACCACCATTAGAATTAATTATTTAAGAATGGTTTAATATTAGTTCAGTAAAATTTGTTTTCAGGGATGGTTAATCACGGGGCGAAAACGAATATGATTAAGCAACCAAGATTTATTTAGTCAGATGTTGGCCGTAATGATTGTATTTTAGTTCCTTAAGTTGTTGAGCAAAGTTCCTTGTCTTATCTCTCTCTCTCCCTGTTTTCTGGGAAGAGCAGACTGAACCTAAAGAGAGAGGGAGCTTAAGATCTATATCCCTTGATTCAGGATGTTCCACATATTTTCATTCCGGCAAGAGAGACAATTTACCATAGAAGTTGGCTGTAAACAGTGTGTGCTACTATTTTTGTTCCACTGGACAGGTGTGTGTGTGTAAGGAAAAGCAACAAGATTTGGGTTATCTTTTCTCATATGAAGCCTGGAGCTGTTTATTGCTAGTGAAACGACTCCAATTTTGATACCAGGTGTTTTATCATCTTCAGAACATTTAGAGCTTCCTCGTGGTTTTGTTTTTCCCCCCTGAGAGCATTGACCTCACCAGCAAGCCTTGTAGTGAACAAAGGTCTTGAGAATAGAGTGTTAATGAACCTATTCATTTACGTTCATTTCGTTGGGAGAGCCCTTTGAGGGTAAACATCCTTGTGCAAAAAGGGATTTGACTGGTTCAGACAAGACCTAGAAGAGATGGAGGGGAAAACACAAGGGAGTCTGATCACTTTATCTTTAGTTATTTAACTAAATTGCTGGTTATTTTTAGCCAAATAAATACTGCATAAAATATGCATATCGACATTTTCTGTGCTTGCCAGTGAATGGCAGAATTATCTTTAACAGTTCTTATATAATGGCATAGTTAAATTATGCTGGGTGTGATTGAGAATTGTTCAGTACTATGCATAGCCCAAAAATAAGTCTGAATTTCTCTTTTTGGACCATATCATTATAGTAGAACACCCCAACTGCAATTCATACAGATGGGAAAAGAAATGAATGAAAATTAAAAAATTAAAAAGAGTGGGGAGATGAAATTATTGTGCTCCACCCACCCATGTAGTTTATCCTGTGTTAATGTAGGACACAAACTTATTTCAGGGATGTTTGTTAGCGAGGAGAAAAGTAGTGTCAGTGTTACAGGAGCAGGTTCCTGTGAATAAGAGATATGTCCCTTCAAGAACTGATCTGTTCTTTCCTCAGTATTTTCCCTGTTCGAGGTAGGAAGGAAACCATTCAGAAGAACTTCTTTTGCAGGGATATTTGAAAATGTTGGTGTCCTCAGAAGTATTCAAAATAATTCGGCAGCCCATGAAGTTATCTCACCCCCATTAGGTTTATTACCCCTCTTTGAAAGTAAAATTAAACACATAATTTAAATATTGATTTTAATGCATATTTGTTTTAAGCAATAAATGCACATTAATGTGGGAATGGGACAGAATTGGCTTATTGGAGGACACATATGAAACGGGCAGCAGATTGAAAATAGGGTGATCCAACTACCCCTGGGGTAGTGGGGGTGGAAATGTCTACATGGTGTACTACAAGTGACCCGGTGGGTTCTGGTCTCAGTGATGTCAGCTGGAACCTGTGGTTGTGTTTTTAGAAGTCGGTGCAGAAGAAACTGGACTGGTACGTTGTTTGTTTTATGCTTTCAATTATCCATGTCCTTTGGTTGGTTAGGGAAGGATGTGAAGATACAAACAACAATGCTGTCAGATAATGTGGTATAAAGCTGTAGCCTAAGGCACTACTTCACGTTTGAAATAGAACTGCTGTTTGTTGGCTCAAAAACCACAGGGTCGGTTTCAAGGGGTGTGTCGTACTGAAAGCAAATCAAGGTTGTTGTTTTCTTTTTTTTTTTGGCAGTCTCAAATTAGCCTGGCGTTCTAGCATTGCTATTTGCATTACTCTCTCCTCACATTTATGGAAATTAATTCTTCAATTGGTATTAAGTCTATTTATTGTCATCAGCGCTTGAATGGACTTAATTGTTTAACTGCCTGTCCTTTAGTACAAAGGTGGCTAACCTATCCCTTCCAAATGTTGTTGGACTACCCCCCATCATCCCTGACCACTAGCCTTGCTGGCTGAGGGTTATAGGACTTTGGGTCCAGGAACCTCTGAAAGGCCACAGCTTAGCCACATCTTCTTTAGCACAATCATTTGAACCGTCAGTTTTGCTTTATGTTAATATGAGTCTTGGAACTGTGCTGGGTCCCTGCCATATTTAGCCTCTAAATCAAGCATAGGCAAACTTGGTTCTCCAGATGTTTTGGGACTACAATCCCCATCATCCCTGACCACTGGTCCTGTTAGTTAAGGATCATGGGAGTTGTAGTCCCAAAACATCTGGAGGGCCAAGTTTGCCTATGCCTGCTCTAAACCTTTGGTTGTCAACCAGTGTACTGGGGAGACGAGGAATGTTCAAGGTTGCCCCAGGAGGTTGTCCTTTCATTAACTTGCAGCTCATATCTTCCTCCATTATCTCTCTCTCTTTCTCTCTGAGGAACATTCAGGGGCGCTGGTGGGGGCAGAACAGGGCGGGGCAGGGATGGAATGGGGGGAATCCCCACTTACGTGTGTCCTATAAGGGGCTCCCACAGGGGAGCCGCATAAAAAATCTGGTTGGTCAAGGGAGCCGTGGACTCATAAAGGTTGAAAACGACTGCTCTGAATATCCACTGACAAGGGAGTCCCATGGGTCATCCTCTTCTCCACTCGGCTAACTGATTGCAAGCCAATAAATGGACTCTGGGAGGACCACTGTGGTGAGTCACAGTGCAATATTTTAGTGGGAATTTGAACCATTTGAGTGTTGCTTAAGTGAAACCTTAGAGCAGGCTTCCTCCACCTCGGCCCTCAGGATGTTTTTGGCTTACAACTCCCATGATCCCTAGCTAGCAGGACCAGTGGTCAGAGATGATGAGGATTTTAGTCTCAAAACATCTGGAGGGCCGCAGTTGAGGAAGCCTGCCTTAGAGAGTAACCCTTTTCCATTTTAAGTCGTGTCTCCATTTGCTGCAGCGGTTGGGAGTAGCTTAAAATGTCGCTGTCTCTTTCTCGCGGAGTCAGTATTTTTGCCCAGCAGGACCACACACTGTTCGTGAATGTACGGCTATTTTGGTTTGGCCACTTCTCGCGGCAGGATGCAGTTTTCTGCAAAGGTGTATAAACTACTGTTTTAATTAGTCCCTTTTATTGCACTTGAGTATAAGAGGGAAATGTTGTAAAGAATGCAGAATACAATGCACGGGAAAGGAAAGGTGGTCTGTTAACAAATGGCCAATTTATGTTTATGTAATGAAACCCTGTATGTGCAAAATGCAATTGTTTCTAATTTAAGAAAAACTTCATTGCCTCAGTAACAATAGTGGTGCTCATTGGTACTAATGAGTTTTAGGGAGCCACATAAAATAACAGCATGGCAATGATGACTAACATATTTTGGTTAAAGCTATTTCAAGGTGATTCACGCTGTTCCCTGTATTGTTTTTTAGGGTTCCTAAAGATGTCACCCACAAATCAGCATTATTTTTCCAGCCTTGGGTTATGTATATTCTGCAGGCTGTCCACCAATTTGGATTATTTTGTTTATTAGTTACCTAACTCTAAATTGACTAATCAATGTAATGGTTATGAATTAAGTAAAATATTTAATTGGCTAGTATAATAATAACAACAACAACAATATATGTCAGAACCTCATCAAAAGTTTTTAGATGCTATTGAATGAAGCCTCCTCTTAAATGTAAGATGACTGCTTTTTTATCAGTTTGGGAAGTTCTTCAATGGCTTCAAAAAGTGAACAAGCTGAAATGTGATCAATATTGTGGAAGTACCATATTTTCAAAAGCTGCACTGGTATTGATTTCAAGAGTGCAGCGCCAGTGTCGTCTGCCTGCGGCCCTTATTTCAAGGTGGAAAAGCCATAGTGGTTTTATCAGCTATGTTCAAATATCTGCTCCCTTTGGATACAAACTGGGAGGAAAAACTTATCTCTGAGATTGACATTGTGTTCTAGGTAGTCTGCATACCAGTATGCCCTTCGGTCTCAGGGGGCAATGTTGCTATGTGGCCTAGTTGGCTAAATTTGCCCTAAATTTTGTCCATGCAACCCGAAACCTGTTCAGACCATTAGCTGGTCCAGCTTTCTTTTCCCTTCTTCTAGACTTTATTTTGAATCAGAAATATGAGACATCCAAACTATGTAACTAGTTTTCTATCCTGTCATTTTGTGAGTAAGGAGTCTATTCCAACTTTTTTATTGTTGCAGCCAATGACACTTTGGTGCTATTTCATGTAGAAAATGTGGTTTCTTTTCTATCTTTCTTTTTTAATTGCCATTCCAATGCCAGTATGGTCCTTTATCCCATTTAAATTGCCTCCATTCCCACCTTCCCAGCCAATATTCATCACAGAACTACATATAGAAGCTTTGTGCTCCGTTTAAAAACAACTGCAAAAAAGACTGGATATTTGCACATAAGACTGAAATTTGCATAGTCAGAAAGTTTTGCTAGCCAGATTTGTGGAACTAGAATCAGGGCTGTCTTAAGCATATGCGGCGCCGGGGTGCAAAGATCCGCCCAGTGCCCCCCAGTTGCCCAGTCCCAGGCGCTCAGGAGAGCGGAGCCAGCCGGCCACCTCGGCATCTCAGTGGCTCGGTCACCCCCGAACTCGCAGCGCAGAGCCACCCGCAGCAGAAGAGCCTGCCACAGCACTCTGACGAACGGGTGGGCTCTTCCCCGGACGCAACTCTCGGGCCCTGGACTCTTGGCCTGGCACCCCTGAGATCCCGGTGCCCGGGTGCCCCGCACCCCTAGCGCCTATGGCTAAGATGGCCCTGACTAGAATATAGCTATTGCGTGGTTGTATTTTGATCTGCAGTTAAACCTTTCTCTGAATAATCCACCACTTGACTAAAGCTAATATAACTAGGTTCTCTTTCCCCCGCCCACTTGTTTATTTCATCTTTACTAGTGATGCTTCTGAATATTTAGTATCTGAATATCTACTAGCTTTTTTATTTTTCCATACACCTCAGAGTATAGTTTATAATTTGTACATACATGTGTGCCGTGTAAGATGCAGAAAGTGCCTCACTTTTTTGGGGGGTGGGGATGAAATAAAAACTGCCCTGCTAGTCATATATTCTAAATGCAGCTGGAATTTGTTCACTGTTTCCCCCTCAATATATTGTTTCAGTGAGGCATAAAGCGGCATATTTTCCAGGACATAATGTGAGAATTTGAGTACAGTACATGTGATTTAAGGCATATGCCTAAAGTCAGGCATCCGCTGTCTGTTGTGCATTTAGATTCTGAGTTCTTTGCTCTAGTCAGGGCAGTATATGAAAAGGGACTCCTGACTCCCATATGGATCTGCATTCTGTGCCCTGAAATGACCTTTCGGAGAGCTGAAAGAGAACCTGTGCAACCCTGGTTCCTACAAAGAGCTTCTGTGTCAGTGGCACAGGCCTAATTTTAGAAAGGGTAAAGCTATAGCTGGTCTTCTCCTGGGCATTTCCCAGCACCGAAAGCACATGAAGTCCTTTGAATGCCCCTTTCCCAAGTTTATGGTATTTTCCCCTTCATCTTCATTTAGAATAATGCCTTGAACAATTATGTTTCCATCCTGCGTAGTTGTGTGTCTGCGTACATTAAATCAGTAGCATACAGCTACATCTTTAGTTCTTCTTCTTTTAATTAAAGGTGGGGGGGGGGAGATCCCAGTTCTTACAGAGAAAAATACCCCCCCCCCAAAAAAAAATGGCTTAGGAAAAAAGTTTCCACTGACACCAATAGAAATCCACCCCACCCTCATCCTCATATTCATACAGTGGCAGAAGTGGATTTTTTTCCTCCGTATTGCATGGGGGGGGGGGTTAAGCCTCCCCTTCCAGCACACTGCTGTCCCAAGAATAATTCTGTTTCTGTAATAAATCACATAAAAACTGTAGCTCCGTATTGTGCACTTAGCACTGTGTGTTTCATTTGGCACTACATGTGCACTCAGCTCTGACATAACAATTGTACAAACTGACATAAAAAGAATGCCAGTAGTATTGCACCAGGGACGCTGGGTTAAACCACAGAGCCTAGGACTTGCCGATCAGAAGGTTGGTGGTTCGAATCACCGCGACGGGGTGAGCCGTTGCTCAGTCCCTGCTCCTGCCAACCTAGCAGTTCAAAAGCATGTCAAAGTGCAAGTAGATAAATAGATACCGCTCCGGCGGGAAGGTAAACAGCATTTCCGTGCGCTGCTCTGGTTCGCCAGAAGTGGCTTAGTCATGCTGGCCACATGACCTGGAAGCTGTACGCTGGCTCCCTCAGCCAATAAAGCGAGATGAGTGCCACAATTCCAGAGTCAGCCACGACTGGACCTAATGGTCAGGGGTCCCTTTACCTTTAGTATTGCACCCCTTGCAATTTTCGTTCACAACAGGGACCTGTACACGTTTGTTAGAAAAGCAAGCCACATGGACTGCAGTGGGGCATATTCCCAGAATCTTGTTTTTACTCAGAAGGACGGAAGTTTACTTAGAAGGAAGCTGCCTTTGGTCCATCCAGCTCAGCATTAAGCACAGCCAGGCAACAGCTCTCCTGGGTTTAAGGCAGGGGACTTGGGCAGCCTTGGTTGAAGATGCTGAGGACCAAACCTGGTACCTTCTGCGTGCGAAGCAGAACCTCTGTCCCTGAGCTACAGTCCTCCTTCTCCTCTTCCTCCTCTTCTGTCTCGCTCACTGATTCCAGTAGGACTTAATTATAAGTAACTATGTGATGGCAGAATGGGTCCATGTGCCTGGCTGTTCACCAGAAGGTTGGTAGTTTGAGCCCACCCAGGGACAACTGTGGGCAAGATTCCTGCCTTTCAAGGAATTGGACTAGACGGTGCTCTGGGTCCCTTCTAAGGTTACAATTCTATAATTCTGTCAATCACTGAATTGTCGAGTTGGAAGGGACCCTGGGGATCATCTAGTCCAACGTAGGAAGCTCCCTTATACCAGGAAAGAGTACTTGTCCATTTAGCCCAGTTTTCTGTACTCTGAATAGCAGTACTCGCCAGGGACTCTGGCAGCAGGTTTTTATCTCCCTTCAACTGGACATACTAGGGAGTATGAAACTAGGGCTTTCAGCTATGGTCTCTCCCTGAGCGATACAGTAAAATGGAACAGCAGGAAGACAGCGAGAATGAAGGGCTTAGCAGTGGGGTAATGTTGAGCTGGATTGCTTCTTCTCAGTTAGGTGGCTAAGGGGTTGTGGGGTATGGTCTAGGCATGACAAATGTGGGGTACTGTATCTTGCATATTTTTAAGAAGTTTTAATTGTCTTATTTTGTGTGTGTGTGCTGCCCAGGGCTCATTCATGGTGGATTTTAATAATACAATTTATTTGTATACTTAGTTTTAATTATATCATCCTAATGGTTACCTTTGATTTAGATGGATTTATTTGGAGGTAAGGCTGTATCTTACTTTCTTTGTGTATGTACTGTAAACTATGGTAAGCCACAGCTTAGGTAAATAGGTAAAAGGTAAAGGACCCCTGGATGGTTATGTCCAGTCAAAGGCAATTATGGGGTTGCGGCGCTCATCTCACTTTTCAGGCTGAGGGAGCCAGCGTTTGTCTACAGACAGCTTTCTAGGTCATGTAGCCAGCATGACTAAAATGCTGCTGGCACAATGGAACACTGTGACAGAAACCAGAGTGCACAGAAACGCCATTTATCTTCCCACCTATTTACTTGCACTGGTATGCTTTCGAACTGCTAGGTTTGCAGGAGCTGGGACAGAGCAATGGGAGCTCACCCTGTCACAGGGATTCGAACTGCCGACCTTCCGATCGGCAAGCCCAAGAGGCTCAGTGGTTTAGACCACAGCGCCACCCGCGTCCCACAGCATAGGGTAAGCTGTATCAAGGTTGTGGGTAGGTAGCATCAGTTGAACTGCTATATGCTGACATTATTATCAGTGCTTATGTGGTTAAAGGAGAGTGCCACATCTCTTCTCTGAAAGTGTTGCCTGTTCCTAGTTCTTGGCAAATGGATAGACTTTATCACGATCTCAGTGATGGATAGTCATTTTGTGCATCTTTAAAAGCCCTGTATGCAGCGTTGCCATTGTCCATGGGGTTTTCTTGGCAGGGATACTGGAGTGGCTTGCCGGTTCCTGCTCCAGGTGGATCACGTTTGGTCAAAACTCTCCACTATGACCTGTCCATCTTGGGTGGCCCAGCACGGCATAGCTCATAGCTTCTCTGAGTTATTCAGGCTCCTTCGCCATGACAAGGCAGTGATCCATGAAGGGGAGAAAAGCAATGAGAAACCTAGACAGCATCTTAAAAAGAGGCATCACCTTGCCTACCAAGATCCGAATAGTTAAAGCTATGGTTTTCTCAGTAGTGATGTATGGAAGTTAGAGCTGGACCATAAAGAAGGCTGATCGCCGAAGAATTGATGCTTTTGAATTATGGTGCTGGAGGAGACTCTTGAGAGTCCCGTGGACTGCAAGAAGATCAAACTGATCCTTTCTGAAGGAAATCAGCCCTGAGTGCTCACTGGAACAACAGATCCTGAAGCTGAGGCTCCAATACTTTGGCCACCTCATGAGAAGAGAAAAGACCCTGATGTTGGGAAAGATGGAGGGCACAAGGAGAAGCAGACTACAGAGGACGACATGGATGGACAGTGTTCTCGAAGCTACCAGCATGAGTTTGACCAAACTGCGGGAGGCAGTGGAAGACAGGAGTGCCTGGCGTGCTCTGGTCCATGGGGTCATGAAGAGTCGGTCACGACTAAACGACTAAACAACAAATGCAGCGTTGCATTTTAATCACCCACATAAGCAAGGTTGGCATCAGGAATCTGCATCAACAGGCACCTGCAAAGGCTGGTGTTTTAGTCAGGGACCCATTGCTAACCTTTGCTAAGGAGAATTTTCTCCAACAGTAACTACAGCCAGAATTTTTTTTTTGGGGGGGGGGGAGGCAGGGTGCTGCGCACAAAACTCCCCCCTCTCACTTCCTTTAAAATTAATTATGTGGTTTTGTCTTGCCTTTAAGTGAGCACGAGGCTAAGTACATAAAACCATGTGATTTCAATTTATCAATTCCCATTAAACGTTCCTGATCAGGTTTGTCAAGCCAGGTATGCTTTAATCAAACATAATGGCATTTTGAATGAACTGGTAAGTGCTGTGGACAATTTTCATATCGGCTCACTGGCTGGGCCAGCCAAAAAGAAAAAGAAAGAAAAAAGACAGTTGCATCCTTTGAACATTAAGGGGAAGAAGCCCTCCCTCCCTCTCTGTCGATCTCTGTTTGTTATTGTGGAACATGACAGTTATCTGAAGAAAAACAGCAGGATTTAATCTGACAGCCCAGTCAGGGAAGAGTGCCACCAATCTAATTATCCAGTAATCTAGTCAGAATGGGAGTAATTCTGGGCCTTACTCAGACTGCTAATCACATTTCCTGTGCATTAGGAGCCACACATGCTGAGCTTTTAGGGATGAGCTTTTAGGCCAGAGCAGTCCCAGGTAAACACAGAAGGAACATCCTTCCCTCCCCCCTAAAAAAAAGAGATGATGAAGTGTATCTGTTAGAACTTGTTTGCTTTCCCCACTCATCCCTTTCATCAGCAATCTCTACCTAAATTCTCCTCCAGTCATTAGCTGTAAAAGGCTTTTCTCGCTCTCCTGTTATTTTAGAGAATCTCACGGCATCTTAACAGATGACTTTTGGCAAGAAAGGAGCAACCGTCCATTGGGACCATAAGCACCATTCCTTCTCTGGTGAACCAGGCAGACCTGGGAATATTGAGGAAGGGCCATAGGGCTCCAGGTTCAAGCCCTGGCATTTGCAGGTCAGGCTGGGAGAGGTTCCCTGTCTGAAACTCTGGAGCACGGATAATAGATAATACTGAGCTAAATGGACCAAGTGAGTGTGTGTTTATATTATGTGTGCATTTAAAACACATGACTTATCTCAGAGAACCCTGGGAACTGTACAGTGGTACCTCGGGTTACATATGCTTCAGGTTACGTACACTAAAGGTTACAGACTCCCCTAAGCCAGAAATAGTACCACTTTGCTTCAGGATG